ACCACTAACCCAGGTGCATATCCATTGGGTGAACAATTAAATGCCTTGTCATGGGATCCAACACCCATCCCCAGCCCCACAACACACGGACACACCCACACACCAACCCTAATTTCAAACGGTAGAATGTGGATCCACTACCCGAGTCAAAGGCTCTTCATTGTGCTGCGAAAGAAGTCATCAACTAGGTGACCTCAACCATCTCTCTCTCTCTGTGCGTCTCTCTCTCTCTCTCTCTGTGTGTGTGTGTGTGTTGTATCAGAGCATGAGTTGGGTAGTAAATGTTTTATGGTCCTAAGTTGACATTTGTTAGTCTCCAGTCCAAAGAGTTCTAACAGCCTCTTTCCCCTCCTTTTCCCCATAATTAGGGTGGCAACTCCATAACTGTTCTGATATAGGTAAAAATGGGAAGAGGATTCAAATAGTTGGTAAATATAAGACTGTCAAAACCAAATAAAAGATGATTCAAATTTCGACTATTGAAGACTTCATTCAGTGTGAATTAAAGGATCACATTACATCATTTCTTTGTATGCCTGTTTGAAATTGATTACTCCACTTAAACACGTAAGGAGGTTAGCTGACATTTTTAAATTCTCTGGGGGTTATCTCAAAATGAGCCTAACTTTATGGGATTTTTTTCTTTTTTTCCCCTGAAATTTACACAAAAAGGTATATAAACCTACAGATCCATACCAATAAATAATGCTAACTAATCTGGCATAAATACTAATTATGACTAACTAGAGTGGGAATTGGTAAAATGCCAAGTGGCAGGATGATATATTTATTACTCTAAATATCATGTTTTGCAGCAATGACCTGTTTTTGTTTAATTGTCAAAAGACTCAAAGCTGCAAAAGCATAAAATCAAAGATAGATGAAGATTATGAAGTAAAGATTAGATGAAGATTATGAAGTTTCTTCGATAAAAGCAACTTATACTTTTTTGCTTTCTGATGTTGGGCTCGTCTTCCATGCTACTTTATACATACTTATAGTTAGCTTACACATTGAAACAAGAAGATATGATTCTATTGATTTAGAGAGTTTGTACTCCTTGAAAATGGTCTATGACTCTTATGGCTTGAGATTTTTAGCACGATATGAGTGATTTTGGTCAAGCTGATTTTTATGACAGGTAAATGTGCTGTTTGCTCACAAGTAAAGGTGGTATGTAATTAACAATATCAATCAGTTTAGTGAAACAAAGTTGGTTTTTTCAGATCCTATCCTTGGGAAAGAAATGCTAATAAATTGGAAGTTTAATAGACTAATATCTATCACTCCATATTATGCACTGCATTAACGAAAACCTATTGCATACTCATATAATTCTAATAAAACTCATTTCACTTCTTCTGATCCTGATTCTTGTTTGATGCGGTCATAGTACAGAGGCATTATTTATATATACCTTTTTTTTAGAGAAAATGCGTGTACACTGCAGTTTTCTTTAAACTTGGTCTCTGCTGAACTTGTAAAATGGATGATTCTGTTTAATATTTGTTAGTTATTAGCTTGTGCATGGTGTATGATCTGCTTATTTTTTTCATAACCCGATTAGTTTAGTTTCACTTGTAGAGATAGAAACCACAATGTCTGTCTTTTTGCAAATTTAACGTTTTCACACAGCTTTTCGTATCCCTCCTATTGAACCTCAAATATTTCTTTCTTCTGCTGTTTGGTTTTGTTTCTTTTGATTTTAATGGCACTTCTGCTATGTTCAGCCCCACCATCAGTCAATAATGTGCGGATTCTCGGGGATGCTATTGAAGGGAATACAATTAAAGGACTTGGGGAATATTTTGGAGGAAAAGAGGGTCCAAGCAAATTTGAGTGGTTGAGAGAGAGCAAGGAAACTGGGTGTGTATCATATCTTTTGTCATGCTTAAACTTCTACTTTAAAGACAATATTGTTCTCTATACTATCTATTTTTACGATAATAATTGAGTCCAATAGCGATATAGGATATAATTACGTAAGTTTTATTTTCGTTGAACTTGATTTGAATATGACTGATGTTCCCTTTAGGTTTGCTATCTTCTAACTAACTTTATTCTCCGAGCTAAATATAGGTTAAAACCTCACTGAGATCTGAGCATGAAGGAAATAAACTTGAGACCTTTCTTAGTAGATTTAGTTTTCTTTTAAATGAACTCTGCTTGCTGATCCATTATCTGTTTGTTTGACGTGGAAGTTCTTGGTCAATTTATTTAAGCAATGTGCTAATCCCTTGCCTTAATAAGGTTGCAGAAATATTGGTCAAGGAAATTGATCAAGTTTGTTTTATAAAATATTAGATCAGATGTCTTTTTTTTTTTCTCGAAGCAGTGAAGTGGAATTCTCCAATTGAATGTACTGCAGAAGAGGGAAAAAATTGCTATAATTTTTGTTTCTTCCATGAGAAATGTGTTTATCAATGCTACATAGCAAACAATTTGAAATCTTTAGTATGTCAGCATTACACTAGGTTTCTGAAGCATGGTTTAACACATAACCATCAGTAAGAAATTTTCTGATTACGTAAAAGATAAAATGTTTCTCTACTCACAAGTGACATCCTTTTGGTAGGATGGGTAAGATTATCTACTATAGAAGTGCATAGCGATTAAATACATGTGCCTTATGGCAAGTACTTTTTGCCTTTGTTTTCTCACGGTACCACGTGATTTATATATTAGATTATGTGTAATACTATACTTGTCAAATAGGTTTGACAAGCAGTGACATAAATGATGCTAAATTAACTTGCAAGATATGGGCCATATGATCAAGCTGGTGATATGTCAGATAACACATACAGCATAATTATTTAATACAATATGGGGAATCCTTTTGACCTTGAACCTTATACAATTTCAGGCTGTCAACTTACTTTTAACTTGTATAGTTATGTCTTTAAGTTTGTTTAGTCTAAATATTGTTGTAGAGTATCCACTAGCATAAACTATGTAATGTATGTTATTTGGTTTCTTTTCCCATTTAAATTCTTTTTCACCTACTGTTCTTTTATTCCTTTTTTCTATGTTTTTCGGCTAGTGGTTTTGTGCTAGCATCATCAGGTACCACTGAGTATGTATTGACCAAGGAAGATGTAGGACGATGCCTGAAATTTGTTTATATTCCTATCAATTTTGAAGGTGCATTTGTCTTTTGAAGGCTCTTTGATTCAGATATTTAAAACAGTGTTTGCCTGAAATCATTGGCCGTTCATTTATGGATATTTTTCCAGGGCAGGATGGGGAATCAGCCTCTGCAATGACAGAGATTGTAAAGCAAGGTAGACTTGAACTGTGCATTCATATGACTGCAACATTTCAATTCATTTGTTTTCTCTCTTAATGCCTTCTAATTGAAATTTCAGCGCCGCCCAAAGTGAACAATTTGAAGATAGTTGGTGATCTTAGGGAAGGGAGTAAGGTTACTGTCACTGCTATAGTTACTGGAGGAACTGAGGGATCCAGCAGGGTCCAATGGTTCAAAACAAGTTCACCAAAGCTCAATGGTGAAAATGACCTGGAAGCTGTTAGTACGTCCAAAATTGCAAAGGTGACTTATCAGCTTGCAGCATCTTCTATATGAATTATCAACTATCATTGTCAGTGGGTTAAGGTTAACGTATTCTTGTAGGAGAATGTAACTTGCCTTTTAGAATCTATTTTCAAATTGTATGCAGGCATTTCGTATTCCCCTTGGTGCTGTTGGATGTTACATTGCTGCAAAATTTACTCCTATGGCTCCTGATGGTGAAACTGGAGAACCAGCATATGTGATAGCTGAAAAAGTTGTCGAAAGTAAGTTGTTGAAGCTTTTTATGCAAGAATACAGATGCAATTTCATTTCCTGAAATAAAAAGAAATCTTACTAGTCAAAAGTGTAATGCTGGTTTTAAATTATTTTTTCTGCATCTATTTTCCTCTCTATAGAGTTTTGTGATGGAATCCACAGCCCATGAATTTTGGGATAGCCACCTCTCACTCTGTCATCATTATGCATGATATCTAGGGATTCTTCTCTTTAAGTTTGGTTCAGGTGGTCAATGTTTGGTGGTAGGTTGTAAGAACTTAGGTTTAAGTCCAGACTCGGTTTTTCTTCGAAGAAAGTTAAACTATATATACATGCCTCAAAGTTTACATGCTCTACACAGAAATACCCTGTGCTTAGTTTCTCTACTGGTAAATCCCTTTGAGTTCATTTTACTCGAGGAAATTTACTTTAAAATTTCTCTCTTTTACAATAGAAGAAAACTTTATGCTTGATTCTAATAACTGAATAATCAGTTAGAACAACCTATCTCGCCCTTTATTTTATTCTTCACTGTGTACATTTATCCTCGCACAATTCATATTTCTTTTTGTTAATTAATATCTTTGATTTAGTTCATTTAGGTTTTCGATTTGTATATTGTTTTATTTATTTATTTATTTTTTGTGTGGGAATGCTCTGCATCTGATCTTCAAAAATATTGGTTATGGAAGTGACTTGTTGGTTTTTCTAAAGAAAACTTAATGTCTTTCATTCTGAGATTTGCACAACTTTTTTCAATTAATTAGTATTTACATTTCTGCAGCTCTTCCACCAAGCCTAAATTTCCTGTCAATCACTGGTGATTATTGTGAGGGTGAAATGTTGACTGCGTCATATGGATATATTGGGGGTCATGAAGGCCACAGCGTGTACAATTGGTATCTTCATGAAGTATGTGTTATTATTTTCTTGTTTCCAATCCTGCTTACTTCAAGAGATACCAAATTATTTACAACGGCAAACTACAATAATGATGAAGCCTTTATCCAGAGCTTTTGGAACAAATCTACATAATATTGACTCATATAGTTGAGCAGTTTTGCAATATTTTGACTTCTGAGAGAAGAGAATTGTTACTTTGTTCTTGGCACTTGAAACTTACTGTCTACTTCTTGGTGCTTTCCAGACAGAAAGTGATGCAGGAACATTGATACGTGAGGCATCAGGTCTTCTTCAGTATCGCATGACGAAGAATGATATTGGCAAGTTTGTTTCATTTAAATGCACTCCTATACGCGATGATGGTACTGTTGGTGAACCAAAAACTTCCTTTGGACAGGAACGAGTTCGTCCAGGTGAATAAAGTTATATTATTTATGTAATATAGCATGAAATATGCAACATAAATATTCGTGAAGTATTCTTATACACGGGGTTATGTTTCTTGACATCAAGGAAATTGCACTACGAAACAACGAAAGAATTAGTTTAGAACTGAGAATAAATAGGTACAAACTTTGGACTAATGCTTGGGTGTGCCAGGAGTTTCTTTCCCTGTTGTTCCATTGCTCATGATAAGTCCTGCTATTTTGACATGGAGATGATGTAGATATACTTGGTTAACCTATTTGAACATATTTTTCTTCTACTAAGTCACTACTTCTTTTCCTATCCTGGAAAGGATTTCTTAATGGAGAAATTTTAACTTTTGTCATGCTTCATAACTACCTCATTTTGGTGGAAAAGATTTAGACGATTTGATGATGATGACGGAGTAACTTAATAAGCATTGCAGTAGTTGCTCTTGCTGACATGCTAATTCATCGTTATCTTTTATATCAACTCTCAATGTTCAGGAAGCCCAAGATTGCTTTCTCTCCAAATATTGGGTGACTGTGTTGAAGGAACCACACTGATTGCTGAGAAGAAATACTGGGGAGGAGAAGAGGGTGATTCAGTTTTTCAGTGGTTTTTGGTAAGAGGGAGCTGATAATTCAACATCTTTTTGTTTTGATATGTCACAAGTGTTGCCTAGTGTTACTAGAACAAGTTTACATTTGCTAAACTGCATAATGGAATGAAAATATTTTGTTATTGCAGACTAATTCTGATGGTGAACATAGTGAAATTGAAGGCGCACGAACTGCAAGATATACTTTATCACGGGGTGATGTTGGCTCTCATGTATCTGTTTCATGTGAACCTGTTAGAAGTGATTGGGCACGAGGTCCTGTGATGCTTTCTGAACAAATTGGCCCCATTGTACCTGGTATGTTGAATTTTTCATCATTTCCTTATTCGTTTCTGCATATTGTGGAAAGTTCATACTGGAGGAAGCTGCCTGGTTCCGCATATCTGCTTTTCCAACACAGAAGATATTGTAAAGAAATGTTATTTTTTAATGCAAAAAAATTCCTTTTATGCTTGACTTTGTATATCTATGATGGGGTTCTCAACTTAGAAGTAATCATGGGAGTAAAAGAGAAGGGTTTTCCTTGAATTAACATTTGGATCAACTTAAAGATCACAGATCTCAATGCCAAAATGCAAGATAGCCACCAATACACTTACAACTAAACACAAATCAGGCACGAGCTTTATAGTAACCAAGCCACAAACACACAGCTTTGGCTAATTACAGGCTATTTACCACCACAAGTAAGCAAAAACGAGAAAACTCACAGCAGCCCACAAATACAAACGCAGGAGAGAGAGGAGAACTAGAAGAGATGGTAAACAGATGAGATAAGTAGAATCTTAGAAAGAAGGAGCAAGAGGAATAGAAGCTGATGAGTGATGAGAGTTGAGAGAGACTGTTGGTAGTCAGCTAATTGTTTAAACCCAAGACTGTTGATGAGCAGCTAATGGTTTAAACCCGCTTCTTTTAGATGGGTGGATGCAGTGAAGTGCCTACTAGGGGTGCTAAACCGTATCCGTATCCGATGAAATATCCGTAACCGTATCCGTTAGGATACGAATATGGTTACTCAAATCTATAACCGATAGGATATGGTTATGGATATGGTTTTGTAGTGAAATATCCGTATCCGTATCCGAAATATCCGAATACATATTAGTCATACTCTTACGATAGTTTCGATTCTTAGATTATGGATTTGTGGTTAATTTTGATGATCAAGATGACTAATCTTAACTATTTAGTTATAATGGACATATTAACGAACTTTTTTGTATCACATGAACTATGTTTTTCTCAATACTATCTAGTTTTCTCATATCTGTTTTGTATCCGCATGCATATCCGCTTATATATCCGCATGTATATCCGTAACCGTATCCGATTTTAGCGGATATGATTATAAGTTTTTCTTACCGAGGTATATCCGTATCCGTATCCGTATCCGAGATGGGTAAGCGGATATGGATATGGTAAGCATCATATCCGAGCCGTATCCAGACCGAATGCACCCCTAGTGCCTACGCAAGCCCAAACCCAATCCAGTCAAGACCCATGTCACCATTTCACACTTCTAATATTTTGGGCCTGTATCAATCTGCGCCATGATGTGTTTCTTATATGCATTGGACAAGCCCCTTGTTCATCAACCACCAGATTATGGGCCATAATTGATGTTTAGAGTTCATTCTCAGTTGCTCATGCTACTTCATCACTTCATGGAAAACCTGTACTCCCTGTTCTTTGTTCCTAAATTCAATTTACTATTATTGTTCTCCCTAAACATGCAGGTCCACCAAGTTGCCAATCACTCGAATTTGTAGGTTCAATGGTTGAGGGAGGCCGCTTGAGCTTCAAAGCCACATACAGTGGAGGGTGAGATCCAATGTGAAATCATGTTTATATTTTCTTAAGGGTAACCTTCATCATACTTGTGCATGATCCAATGATTTGTTTTTTTGTTCCAGTGAAAAAGGAGATTGCACCCACGAATGGTATCGAGTAAAAGAAAATGGTAGAAAGGACAAACTAATTGCTGATGGTAAGTCACTTGGCTCCCTGGATAACTTTTCATTCCCGAGTACTATAAATATTTCAGGTTATGATGAAAATGATGTAATCTTTGCAGAGTTTCTTGATTTGACTATTGAGGATGTGGATAGGTGCATTGAGCTTGTTTTCACGCCTGTGCGGAAGGATGGAGTAAGAGGATCTGCAAAGACTGTTGTCTCAAGTGTCATCGCTCCTGGTAACTTCTATGTTATTTGGGCTTCTCAGATGGTGAACGTTTCTTCTAAATTATAACCTATAACAGAATGATAAAAACAATCTTCTTACTAAACTCGAGCTCTATATAGGGGCAGAGTTAAATGTTGAATGAATATTGTTCTTTATTTTACTGTGCTTTTGTATGCATTATTTGTCTTGAGATATGTTGCGTTTTGTGTGGCTGCCAGAAAACGAAGTGCCATTTTCTATGTGGACCTATGTTGCATAGACACAGGTACGGGTACGCGTACGGGACACGACAAATTTGTAAAAAGTACGGTACGGGGGACACGACTGTGTATATATAAAATAATTCACTATAGATCAATACCAAATTACATACCTACTACATTTTCATGCAGATCAATGGCTTTCAAGGAAATATCCGCTATATATATAACAATTATACCATATTGAGAATTCAATATGTGCACTGTAGCAAGATTGACTTACTTTCTACATACTAAAAATTCTCCATAAGTAAAAATGAACCACTTTCTTTTCTTATTTCTCTAAACTTAAGGACCCGTGATGAATGCTATTCTTATCCAGAAAAGGCAAAAATCAAAACTTATTCTCATCAAACCACCCTATGTGAGGGATGATGTCATACTCCACTAAGTTAATAGAAAATAAAGTAAAATGGAGAGAGGAGAGAGAGTGTGTGTGAAATGTTCACCATCATCTTTCTTTATCCCCAAATATTAGATGGCCTAAGAACCCATCCGTGTCCACCGCGTTTGGGTACGTAGCCGTACCCAAAACGGGTCCGACACAGGTATGGCCCCCGAGTTGCCGTGTCGGGGCAACCGAGATGTGGACTATATTGAGACTAAGGAACATGTCTCTTGATACACATGTAAAGGAGATAATTCTTAGGAAGTGTTATTCGTTCTGGATTGTTTGGTACGACTAGGACAATTGTCCAAAAATTCAACAATTGTCCAAAAAATCAACAATTGTCCAAAAGTCTGAAAATTCGGTAATCAGTGTTGCAAGTGGACAATGCATACTTGTGGTTTGTGGTTGGGGCTTTCAGATAAAACAAAGTTTTAGCATATGCTATAGACTTGAAAGCATGCCAAAATTTTAATAAGGCAAGAGCTAAGTTGCATGGAAACGGGCACGGGTACTGGTACGGGTGCGGGTACGGGTAGGGGACACAGCAAAATTGCAAAATGTAGGGTACGGGGACACGACTACATATATATATTGAATTAATAATGTACACGAGATATAATTTTCCCGCTTCATGTGTCATTAGGATTAAAATTCCGATTACATTTTTGAGTTTCTTTTATCATATTGATTATTGTGAATTGTAAATTACTAGACATCTAAACGACCCATTAACTATATAGTTTTGAACTTGGGTATGGACTGACTAGACATCTAAACGACCCATTAACTATATAGTTTTGAACTTGGGTATGGACTGAAACGAACCCGACCCGCATCTCATTAGTTTCAAAAGACGGATGTGAAGTGTAAGCTCTATGTCCAGGAAGTCTTTGACAAGTGTTTTAAATTAACACATATATCGTATAATTGAGTACATGTTGTAATAAATGCATGCATATATTCAAGAAGTGTCCATGAAGTTTGGGTATAGGAAAGTGTCGGGTACGTGTCCGGTACGGGTACGGCTTCATTATAGAAGTACCCGGGTAACATAGGGCAAGAGAATACTTGGAATAACTCTTAGGATAAATTTCACTTGGTTGTACAAGACAAATGTTGGTCAGATCTTGCTTTATGGCATACTAGTCGTCGCCTGTGCAAGATACATGACTTATTGTTATAATATTATTGCTTATATATTATGGTCACAATATTGTTATAATATTGTTGCAGAAATCATGAGTATGACTTGTGAGGTGGCGGTTCATTTTGCTAAATGGGCTACTAAGAGATATCTATGCGATAAGGCCCACCTCACAAGTCATGTCAAAAGGTGTAAGCCTCACTTTTCTATCTCTTGGTAGCTCATTTGGCTAAATGAGCCGTCACCTCATAGCCATCAAACCCAATTGTTGCATGTATATTATGGTAATATTGTAATTTGAAAATTATAATAATATAGATATAGATTCCTAATTTCACAATTACATAAAATAAAATGAACACCCATCAATACTTTTTCTCATCGGGATATAAAATTTTTTATAAGAACAAATGTCAACATGTAATTATTTCCAAATTAAA